CACACGCACACGCGCACACGCGCGCACGCGCGCACGCGCGCGCACGCGCGCGCACGCGCGCACGCGCGCACACGCGCACACGCGCACACGCGCACACGCGCGCACACCCACAAACGCACACGCACACGCACACGCACACTCACACGCACACACACACACACACACACACGCACACGCACACGCACACGCGCACGCACACGCACACGCACACGCACACGCACACACACACACACACCCACACACACAAACCCACACACACCCACACACCCACACGCATACACGCACACACGCACACACGCACACACGCACACACGCACACACGCACACACGCACACACGCACACACGCACACACGCACACACGCACACACGCCCACACGCCCACACGCGCGCACGCGCACACGCGCACACGCGCACACGCGCGCACGCGCGCGCACGCGCGCACGCGCGCGCGCAGAGAGACACCCACCTACACACCCACCCACGAACGCACGCACGCACGCACGCACTCCCGCACGCACGCACGCACCCACCCACCCACCGAAACACACACACACACACACACCCACGCCCACACCCGCGCCCGCACCCGCACCCGCACACGCGCCCACACCCACACCCACCACACCCACCCACGCCCTCCCATACCCACCCACCCACACCCACACACCCACGCACCTACGCACGCACGACCGCACGCGCGCGCGCGCTCGCCCGCCCGCACGCACGCACGCGCGCACGCACGCACGCACCCACACACCCACACACACACACACACACAGAGACACCCACCCCCCCACCCACCCACCCACCCACACGCACGCACGCACGCACGCACGCACGCACCCACACACACACACACACACCCACACCCGCACCCGCACCCGCACCCGCACCCACACCCACACCCACCCACCCACACCCACCCACCCACCCACCCACCCACCCACCCACCCACGCACCCACGCACCCACACACCCACACACACCCACGCGCCCACGCGCCCACGCACCCACGCACGCACGCACGCACGCACCCACCCACTCACCCACCCACCCACCCACCCACCCACCCACCCACACACACACACACTCCATCTCCATGGCCAAAAACCGGACCTTGCCCATTGGCAAGCCGTAAAACACGTTGAAACCCCTGACTGAGGCGTCCTGCCGGGATTCCAGGGATAAGGGCTCCAAGAGGAACTGGACGCCTGATCAGGAGATGAAAGACGTGAACGACAAGGTGGCCTCAGACGCACGGCTAGATCCTGTTTTGGTGATACCCTTTTTTGCGTGTGTTTAAAAGGGAACCCAAAAAGAAAGCCAACTGTTTTCGGGGCCCACAAAAAAGACAACAACACCCAGACTTTAGTTCGGTGTGAATTTTAATGGATCCAAAAGGACCGAAATGGACATCAAAATTGGCTGGGTCCCGATTCAAGCCCACCAATCACGTTTCGGTGGCTCCCATTAGGATGCATGGCCATGGGGCTGATGTCTTTCTCTGGGGCTTGTGACCTAGGCTCGTTTTGTCCCTTTTACCTGGGGGAGGGGCGGCGTGACTTTGGAGAACTGTTGAGACAAGTGGGGGGGTCGCCAAAGAATAGGAGCCCTTTTTGGTCTCCCCTTGAAAAGGTGGCACACAGCCTCAAAGCAGCACTAGGGTCCAAAAAGCAACCGGCCAGATGTTTGGCCACCCCCTCGTGCTGTTGCGTTGCTTTGCTCTAGTTGTTTTTTCTCAAAGCAAAAACAAACAAGTCCTTGCTTTGTTGTGGTGTGTGAGATTGGCCGCGGGAAACCAAGGAATGTGAGCGGGGGTGACGGATATGCTGTTCAGCTGCATTCACTTGTCGATGCTCGCCTGATGCGCGCAGCTGTCAATTTTGCCGCCACAAAGTGGCGGACAATGGCCATGTAAAGTAGCCTGTGCGCTGCAGGCCTGCTGACTGGGGTTATCAGAGTTTGACTCCAGTCGTTATTGAAGTTGGCGAGCCTCACAGCTGGGTCTTACGTTCCATTTATAACCGAGCTCAGCTCAGGTCAAGTAGGGAAAGCTCCGCTCTTGGAATAGTTCGGGCGCCTGTATTTGCTTGGCGGTTCTCAGCCATGCCCTTAGACTTTAGAGCCTAGACGGATTTATGACATATTCCCACCTGGCCATGAATAAGGAACCCCCTGGAAAGTGGTTGGTGGACATACACCCCCACTTAAATGATGTCCACCAGAGGGTCCCTAGGAAAAAAGACATGCCCAGCTGAGGAGTTAGCAAGGGAATCAACGAACCGCAGAGTTTTAAGACGTTTTGCCTGGCCGCGCTGGCCGCAACGTTGCCTGCGCAGCTTCAACCCCGTTCTCGGCGGGTGTCTATCAGCCAAGCTCACCGCCGAGCGGGTGGCCCCTGCGGTGCTTAAGACCGGATGCGGGCATGCCTTCACATGGGTTTGCCCCAGAAAAGGGACCCCCCTCCCCCTCTCCAAAACAAAACCAAAAAAACAATGGCAACGGTGTCCTTTTTCGGTTCGGCCCTGTTTTGTTTCACCCCAAAAGGGGGGCCCATCAAAAGACACACCCATATGGAGGGCGAGGAACCCTCCAAAAGAGACACCAGGCGAAACCCAGGTGACACTGCAGAAGCAGTGGGCTCCGGGCTTTCGGCCTGCCGAGTTTCTTTGGGAGGGCAAAGAGATGCCGAGAGAGTCCGCAGGGCTTGGGTGCTGGGAGTGAGTCGATTGCTAAAATTCCAACACACTCAGCTTAGAGAAGTATGACGATTATTTGGCGCTAGACCTTGTGGTAGACCATCATTTAACATTTGCAAGCGAATAGCTTTGTTTACCCCACCATTGGCATACCCATCCCTGCAGGCTACGTGCCTGCCCCTACACAGGAGGACCAGGCGACCGGGGGGGCGTTTCTGGTGTCAAAGCCCTCCGGACGTTCGGAGGGGCGGTTGGTTGCGGAAAACATGTGGGCGCAAGATGGCACTACCTCCCCATCTTCTTGTTTTTCACGCGCATTTCTCCAGCCAGAACACGTTTTAAGTTTCATCTTTTGGGTTACTGACATGCGAAAAAGCTGGGGGAATGGTTGCAGTTGCGTTCACTTTCACCCTGCCACAGACCTCCGGAGGTGCCGGTTTTCCCTTCTCGTTTGCAGGGGGTTGCCTTAAGTCAACCGGCAGCTTCACGGATACTTGCCATTGATCAATTGCATAGGGCTAAAGTCGGCTGCCAAGTAGATAAGCCTAGAATCAGCCAGCATCAGCCAGCAAAGCGGTGAGGGTTCGATAGGTACGGTGATATCATCATGAAATCTGGACATTGGATATGAAGTTGAGGCCACCAGAGGCCCTGCGTCAGCGTAAGGTTTCTTCAGACCTCCTGCTTTCTGGAGGTTCAAACTCTCCTCCCCCAAAAAAATGGCGCCCCTGTTCCCACCACTGAGGTCCGCAGGGTGTATGTATAAACGGCACCTTTGGGAAAACCCAAATCGGAATTGATTTTCCAAATTCCAACCATGAGTTCTGGGCAAGTTGTAGGGACCTTTGCTTGGGGATGAGTATTTCAGGTCTTTGAACCAATCGTTTTTTCCCAGCATTCTGCTCCAGAAGGATCCTTGCGCGAATAGCGAGGTATACAGTAGATAGCACATTTGGAATTCACATTGCAACTTTCTGTGACTACGTAGCTGTGCTGATGGGAATCCCACTTTGGAATCACAAAGGTGGCATCTTCTTCATAAGCATGCTTTCGCCTCAGAGCAATCCAGGCGCTGCTTTGGCCCCCTGTTTTGAATATATTCTTGCTTGAAGGTGGTCTTGGTTTGAAACTCTACCAAAACACTGCGCAACGTGCAGACATCTAGAAAACCGCTTCGGCCTGTTTGCCGTGGTTCCTCCAGTTCGTTCAATGCCCGGATCCACTCTTTGGCAAAACCCATGGCTTCGGTTTTTCCAACCATGCTGATTTGGGAAGCACCTTGAGCCTTCATACCCATCACCTCTCCAAGTGGGTGAACTTCTTGAACCAGGGACCTCAAATTTCTGGGACCTCTTGGGATGGGGATGGCCAGCGCCAGAGGAGCTTTCTTGCCTCGGCCGTCCGTCAGCTTTCGAGCGCGCGCGACGGCTCCAGGGCCCGCTGGCCTCGAGCTCCCGCGGACCCGTGGCTATGGCGCTGGCCTCGTTGATTTTCGACCTTCCTCACCCCACCCCGCCCCCCCGTTTTTTCGTGTGGGGGTGGGGCGTTTTCTTTTGGGGCGGCACCCCCCCCCCATTTTTTTTTTGAAACGGGGTTGCTCCCACCCAATAATCAACCAATATTTTAATATTTCGCTTGGCGTGGGCTTATCAAAGAGGACATCCTCAAAAGCTATCCACATGCTGTTCTTTCTTTCTTTTTTTGGGGGGGAAGGGGGCACCCCACTTTGGTCTGCTTCAACCGTACTTTCACCCAACCCAGGGCCAAAACACACCCGCTTTTTCCGGTGGGAATGCGGATCACTTTGTCTGGTGGCATACGTAGGATGGGTTTACTCATCCGCGGCTCCCATTGCGGCTTCCACACATTCTTCCCCAAAAGGTGGTTTTAGACATGAGCATTTGGGGCAAAGACAGTGAGTTCCCTGTTGGTTGGGTGAAAGTACTTGCACTTGCCAACCGTTCCCTACCTCCAGACCCATTGGCGGTTTGGAAGGGGGGTTGCTCCCATATTCATTTGCCCCTTATGCCTGAAAAGCTCTTTGCGCGCTCCCTGTCTCCATTGGTATGGCCGTGAGAACAAGCAGGCCCTAAGCGGCGGTAAGCGGGCTGAGCCGGGCGCCTCTTTTGTTCTTGTTCAGGATTGTGCGAAGAATTGTTTGAACAACCCCTGGACTGGTTCAAACGGCGACTAAGCAGGGGTTGTTTAAGCCATAGAGGTTTGAATTCTGGTTCTTCCGCCAGAGGCTGGCCCAACTTAGACCCATCCCGTGGAGTCCGAGGCATCAGTGCCCATGGCATCCATGGCGCCTGCCTCAGATGCCGATCAGTGCAGCGGCACCAGGTGTCCCTTTGTTTCGAAGATGGTCTCCACTACAAGCAAGCAGCACACTACCCGAAGGAAAACCGGTTTATATACCCTCTGAGTTGCTGTGTAGTGGTTGTACTCTGAAAGTAGTGTCTTAGATTTCGGAGCTGTGTGTTTGCAAGGGGTTGCTCCCGTATTCTTTTGTTTCCTATGCCCGACTGACAAGCACTGCCCACGCTCCATGTCTCCACCTGTCTTGTCGTACCTCTGTGGCACTCCCCCGCCTTTCTGGCTGCGGCTGAACGGCCTGCTGCATCTTGTGGTGTTTTTTCAGGGTTGGGTGGACACTGCCCAACCAACCCGCTGGCCTCGTTCAACGGGCAACTAAACAGGGGCCACTTGAAAACCACAGGGGAACCACGGTTTGAAGGAGGGCTGGCCCAACCTGGAGTCCATTTGTCGGGGTGCTTTTGGGCCGATTGGCTCGACCCCCGAGGCATCAGTGCCCATGGCATCCATGGCGGCTGCCTCAGATGCCGATCAGTGCAGCGGCACCCTGTGTCCCTTGTTTCGAAGATGGTTTCCACTGCCCAATTTAGATGACAGACCGACGGAGAGGCCGGCTTTTTGGCTGGTGCCAGAAGTGTTGCGGGATTTCATTCAGCCTGTGATTTGGCTGTGAACTTTTGTCGAACTCCCTGACAAATGAGGTGTGTCTGAGAATGAGAGAACCCTCAAAATGCTTGGTTTCCTTTTGGCTTCTCTTTGAAACCAACCAAAAGGGGGGGTCTCCCCGAAGACTGCTTCGGTGCACTTCCTGTTGCCAGATGCTACGAACAGAGCTGCGCGACCCAACACCCCCCTCAGCCTCCTCCCGCGGGGCTTGCAACAACAACGCGATGTTGGAGGACACCTACCAAACCTGCTGAACACGAAGCATGGTTGATATAGGAGCCGCAATTCAAACAGAACCAGGGAGGTGCTGTTAGACCGATTCTGTCCGAGAAGTCCGCAACCAGTGGTAAGCTGCGGAAAAATCCTCGTGCCCTTGCGCTTTGCCGATTTATGATTTAGTCCCATACTCTTCTGTTTCCTACGAGCACTCCACGTTCATATTGTCGTACATGGATCCCAGTGATACTTTTTGCTACCTGAGACCCAGCAGGATGAACGGGTGTTTGGTCGCTCGGAACCTCAAAGCAAGGACAATACCACAAGTCTGGAGATTTGGCGTTTGCCATGGAGCTGAAGCAAAATCACCACCCCAACGAGTCTCACCACAACGGCTGGCCCAAGGCCTCGGTGCCAATGGCATCACAGCCTCAGATTCCGGCCATGCCGGCACAGGCGCGGCGCTGGGGGTGCTTTTTGCTTCTTTTTTTCTCTTCTTCTCGGCGGAGTTGTTGGTTTGGGGGCCCGGGTCCGCAGAAAAACTGCCGAACATGTTGCACGAAGGCAGACACCTCAGCAGGGTTGGGCAACAATCACGGCAGAGCTGCGCAAGATTTTCTTGAACAAACAGGCCCTGGCCCTCGCATCCTTTCAGGGGAAGCCAAGAGGAGGTTGTTGGAGCTATTTTTCGGTTTAAGAAGAAGGGGTAAACAAGGAGGTGCTTTGCCAAACCGCACGGCTTGCACATTGCTGGCGCTCTTTTTGGTTTTCCCTTTCCAGGACCCAGCTTCCTACCTTTGCAATTGGTATCTTCGAGCCCCGCCCGGATGGGTTTCTCGGCATGTCTGGTTCACTTTCGGAACATGGGGCTAGGTCCGACAGAGTCCCTCGCCAGAGTTGCATCTGGCAGATTTCTCCCTGACTTGCAGGAACCTCCCGGCAAAATGGCCATGGGTCAAAATCCAAATCGTCCCCCCAGTGAACATCCCAATCCCCACTAAACTAGACTAAAATGGGTGGTGAATGCACCTAGCCCAAAATGGTACCATTGCTGTTGACAACCACAGCCAAATTGGGCAAACACAAGGGGGAATCATTGCAGGTCGCGCCCGCGTTTCTTTTCGGGCGCCCGTGTTGATCACACGAGGCCTCAGCCTTGGGGCCGATGGCAGCGGGAGCGGCGATGGCTCCGCTGCCAGCCCAGGCGCGGCATGGGCTGGGTTTAGGGTGGTGCTTGGCGCTGGACTGATCCTTCCATACTACCCCCCTAAAACCCCAAATGCACCCCGACTGCTTCTAATAATTCTAAAGGTGGGCACCCCCGATGCCCCCTAACTGCTTCTCAAAACGGCTTCCCAAGGATGTCTCAAAAGCTTTCGAAAGGTAGGGATACGCCTTGTCGCCCTCAAGGCTAGCCAGGTGAGCCAATCAAATCTGGCCGGGAACCCAAAATGGAGGACTCCGGGTGGCGTTCGGGTGGGGGAAGAGGGCGGAGCGACGAGTGCGACCGTGTTTCTCCAAAGCGCCGGGAGGATGTAGGGGCACCGCAGGATTCGAAGCCCCACTCAAAGATTAATGCAGGCGCTCCTTTTTCATGGTGTCCGCAAAGGAAAAGCATGTACAACCAGGGCACCCTCATGATGTCCAGCTCCAAGATTGTCGTGGAACCCCATTGCGGATACGTTTGTTTCCCATGGAGTAGACTGCCCCAATTGGGGTTCCGCCAAAAGACGTGCGCCCTGGTTGTTAAACGTATGTTGGCATTGAAGCCTAGGTCCAAGGACAAATTACGGCCAGTGGTATGAGGCCCAAATCGAACATTGCTTCTGCATACATTCCATTTCCCCAGGAAAAAAAACAACACACACACACACAAAGAAAACAACGAAAACAAAAACACGTCTTTTGCATACATTCCATTTCCTTAAACAAATAAAACAACATATATAAAAAAAAAGAAATGTGGGTTCGTCTGCAAGGTTCAGGCCGAAGGAACGGAGAACGGTGCCCGGCAGACTGGCAGGCAGGCGCGTTGCTGCCTTGGTCCGGCTTTGAGGGCCTCGCTGCCTGGGCCTCAGGCCTTTGCCCTGCCAGTAAAACCAACCGAAGTCCAGCTGGGTCTTGTCGCAGCATGGCTGTGGTGGTCAAAAATAGGGTAACCCCAAGATGGCATCCTGGTAAATGGAAACATGGACCAAACCCTGCGGTCCATATCCTGGTGGTTTAATTTTGACCCATACCCACATGTTGTCACTTGCCGGTTGGATAGGGAATGAGAAATGGAATGGCAGCGATTTAGACCATCCCCGATGGTATCCTTTGAGGGAATCACTCCCAACTCCGAGCACCAGCAACTGTAGTGTTGATTCCGTTTTGGTACTGATTCCTGACATCTGCTGAATGAGGGCCCAGGGTAGGCTTTTGAGGGTGGTCGGATGTGGGTCCTAGCTACCGTAGTGGTTTTTCTTACAGTGTTTAAAGGGTGGGAACACCCCTGGTTACCTACAAAAAACAAGGAATACGGAATCCTGGTCCCGACATGTCTAGGCATCCAGCCATTTTCCTTGCAGTGTTGCAAGGGTGGAACCCCTCCTGGTGACTTATTTCACAGGAACATGGAATCACTGGGTCCCCAAATTTCCACATTTGGGTGGCTTTAAGCATCACCTGGTTGAACGGAACATGGGGGGTTGATCAATACCCCCCAAATGAGCATGGGTAGTGGGACATTGCCTGTTTTGGGTGGTTTTCCAACCCCTGATCAAGGAACCCTGTCACTGAGCTCCTGCCACTGGGCTCTTTGTATTCGAGGCCCAGTTCGACCGCATCGACCAAAACCACGACGGGCGGTTGAACCATGCAGAGTGGGACGGCAACATGCAGGCGGGACGGATCAAAATGGGCCTGGGTTACCGTTTTTAGCTGGATTCGCGATCAGGAATTTGCCCACTTGAAGGAGCTGCTTTTCTCATTCGGTTTCCTTCCAGCGGTGACTGCAAGCTTCTTGAGTCAAAACACTAGGATTTTGAGGTGAAGAGCCTGGTTCACGTAGTCATCGAGATGGTTCTCTTTGGTATCACAGCAAGGGCTATTTTCCACAAACGTGAAGAGTCTGGTTGCAAAGCGAATCACATACCCTACGCAACCAAGGTGGGATAAGTTCAGGATGTCTAGGATGAATTCACATGGCGGATGCCTCCTGGAGATTGTTTAGACTTGGTCGGTAAATGCTCTAGCACTGTCAACGGTTTGCCAGGTGACTTTTGCGAGTGTGCACATTCTGCTCAGATACTTTGCTCGCCAGCCCCTCCACCGTGTCGGGTGGTGGTTGTATAGCCAGCGACCTTTTTTTCCACACATTAGGACAACTGCCATCAGGCATAACTCTGATTATGTCCCTCCATTCTGGGCCCAATCGTTTAATTGCAACAACCGAGCTGAAAGAGGAACCCCAGAGGCCCTCCTTTTTATGTGGAGGGCCCCATGTCTTCCCCTGGCCCGGGAAGGGGAAGTCATTGGTTTGAATGGTGCGGGTGACAATCCCCCAGGCGATACTTTTTGGGTTTGCATTTGACCCGAAATCCGCAAAAACTGGGGTACGGGTACACTCCCTCAGACTAACATGGAAGCTCCCAGAAGGCCTCTGAAATGGAACCAAGTCTTCCAAAGGGTCCTGGGAGCTTCCATGTTAGCCTGGGGAGGCTGCTGTGAAAAAAAAAGCATGTGTCCCCACACAAGCCGGCATGTCGCTGGATGCCAGGCGGCTGTGCCGGCACCTGCGTCACAGGAGCGAGGGGGGACGGTGTCGGAAGGGGACACTGTTCTGGGTGTCAGTTTAGTTGAATTTGGTTGGAACAGAAATGGGGTTCCCGATATCCATATCCAGGTCCACCGTACATATATTTTCACATACACGTGTGTATTTTGTTAAGAAGGGTACTTGGGGTCACGAGAGTTCGGTGCGGCTTGAGGTTGCGATGGACAGCACTTTCCATTTGTAGCGACCTTGCCAAATTGGCGACCGATTTCACCCACGACGGTTCCTTGCTTGCGAATGATCACAATTCACCCGGAACAATGCCCCTTTGATTTCCCGTTTTGCTTTTGAAGGGGTTAACCTGCTGATTTTTCGGCCGGGCGGCGCGCGAGTTTCTGATTCGGTCACGGGAGGCGGAAAGCTGACCCCACCTCCAAACCGGCAACCCTGGTCGTAGACCCCGGATCTCTGAAATGGAGAGCCCCAATATCAGACCTCGGTCGCCCTTTCGTTTCGCTTTAAAACAACTCCCCAAACAAAAACACAGCCAATTGACCCCTGAAATCAGGGGAATCCCTCCATGACTTCCCCGCTTCTGATGAGTACCCTCCGCCGGACGAATCCAAACTTTGACACTTATAAGTTGACCATGCTTGCTCCGAATCTCAACGCAAGGCCCATGCCACAAAGTTAACTCTCGTGGCGATCGGGTCGAACCTGCTGTTGACCAGAAAAGGACAGTATAAATGTTAAAGCCCCCTGATGCGTGGTTTGATGGACATGTCGCCTCTTCTCGCAAGCTGGCAGCTTGGCATCCGATGTTTCTCTGCTTGGTCCAAGTGGTTGGCGAGCCCCACGTTTCGGTTGCAGGGCCCAAGCCCGAGCGTCGTGTGCGCCAACTGCGGGAACCGCTACGCCCCGGACGCCGCCTTCTGCCGCAAGTGCGGGGTGCAGCGGCCGATGTTGGCGTGGCAGCTCAGTGGGCTGGGGCGGGGTTTGGAGCGAGCCATGTGTGTGTGTGTGTGTGTGTGTGTGTGGTGTGTGTGTGTGTGGTGTGTGTGTGTGTGTGTGGGTGGGTGGGTGGGTGGGTGGGTGGGTGGGTGGGTGCGTGCGTGCGTGCGTGCGTGCGTGCGTGCGTGCCTGCGTGCCTGCGTGCCTGCGTGCCTGCGTGCCTGCGTGCCTGCGTGCCTGCGTGCCTGCGTGCCTGCGTGCCTGCGTGCCTGCGTGCCTGCGTGCCTGCGTGCCTGCGTGCCTGCGTGCGTGCGTGCGTGCGTGCGTGCGTGCGTGCGTGCGTGCGTGCGTGCGTGCGTGCGTGCGTGTGTGTGTGTGTGTGTGTGTGTGTGTGTGTGTGTGTGTGTGTGTGTGTGTGTGTGTGTGTGTGTGTGTGTGTGTGTGTGTCTGTGTGTGTGTGTGTGTGGGTGTGGGTGTGGGTGTGGGTGTGGGTGTGGGTGTGGGTGTGGGTGTGGGTGTGTGGGTGGGTGTGTGGGTGTGTGGGTGTGTGTGGGTGTGTGGGTGTGTGGGTGTGTGGGTGTGTGGGTGTGTGGTTGTGCTTGTGTGTGTGTGTGTACAAGTCGTATCATGTCGGAACAAGTCGTACAGACGTACATTACCTGGACCCATGGAGCGCAGCCGACGTGGTTACAATTTCACGGACCTGGAGCCCTGCTTGACAGACCCATTCGGCACACTACGTCACCTCCGCCCCCACCAAGTTTCCCACTGCTTCTTCCACCTCCGCCTCCGCCACCGCCACCACCACCGGTGATTCTACACCCACAGTTTATGCCCTCAGTACGGAGCCCCTCGATCTCAGCTCCTCGCGGACAATCTTGCCCTGCCACATCGAAATCGCAGCGCACACGCCGCTCGATCTACAGCACTGACCATTCCCGTGATGAAGACCTACGCAGCCCAGGGCGTTCATCCAAACGATCTCGGACAGCATCCGCTTCGGCACCGCGGAGATCTCGGCGGCCTTTCACAGTATTCCCCTCCAAACGTGCTGGCCGTCCATCGCTGTCCCCATCGGCAAATTGCAAGCGTTACTGTCATGCCATCCTGCGCCATGGGCGGAAATGTCTTTCCCCTTGTGTTCGTAGACGGCCAGGACATTACCATTGCAGGTGTGCGCGGCATCAACGGCGGTGAAGCTTAGGTGTCGTATATTACAAACCTCGCTGCTGTGTCTCACCTTGAGTTTGAAAAGTTGCCTTGCATTCCTTCAGCTGTGCGCGGTTGTCATTGCATGTGTGTCTTCGCCGCAGATTTTCGATTGCTTTTAGCGGCCGCGCGAGAGCTTGTCTTGCCGCTATGAACCCTCAATTTCGAGTACCAGATCGACAGAGGAGTGGAATGGATTCGAATTTACTCACCGGGCACGTGGCGACCCGTTCCCGATGATGCTCCAGTGCTAGACCCACTCTACGCTTCCACGTATAGGGAGTGGCGCAGGTCATATCGCTTCCAAGTGTACTGGTCCGAAGACAGCACCGGAGGCACAACAACGGATCCCATAGTCACGCCCAGTTCGTATGTGTCCTACCACGTGTGGGAGTACCGAGACTGGCAAACACGAGGGTATCAACGACTTGGAGCTCCTTTACCAGCCATTGGACTCGCGATGCTCGTGAATGCAGACGCCAATTCCTCGGTGGGCTCATCGGTTCCGGATGGGGCGTGGCGAGAGCCGTCACCACCACCATTCTATGATCCTTGGAACGATTCGGAGTGACACTTGAGCAACATGTCGGATAAAATGACGCGGTTGAGCTTGCTTTGTATGCGATTCCATGTTGGGTTGTCTTGCTTGGTGTTGTGCGTTCCGTCTCCATGTGTTCGCTGCTTTCCTTTATGACTTCGAGCGGCTTGCCTGGTTGAAATGTTCAATTGTACAGTGTATGGCACAGCACGATGGGTCCTGCCTCGCTACTTTGACTGCGACATCGTCAATGGCCCCGCGAACACGAGTGTAGAATGGATTCGGATCTATGTACCGGGTCCGTGGCATCCAGTCGCCGAGAACACCTTGGGACCAGCCCCGGATGACTCAACCACTTATCGGGAATGGCGCAAGGTTTACCACTTCGAAGTGTATTGGCCGAGGGATAGCACAGGCGGCACCAATACAGGTGCTGTTTCGCAGCCGGTATCTTATGCATCCTTCTATACTTGGCATTATAGAGACTGGGTCACCAGGGGATACCAACGACTGGGTCGCCCACACCCTAGCATTGCGTGGCCAGTTTTCGCTTCGGGCGCACCGGACCTCATGTACGCTGGATTGACCTCTTCATCGGCATCCTCCAACTCGGATGGTGGCTGATGCTCGTCCTCGCCTTCCTGGGGAGCCTGTTCAGTTCAATTCGATTCGGGAGATTGACTTCGATACCGGAGCCGTGCATTGCTGCAAAAGTGATTTCTTGCACCGTGGCTGTTGTTTCTCTTTCAGTCATTGTTGTCTGCAGCCGTACACCTATCAATTTGTCTTTCCGGGTTTGCGTTGTCATGCCGTGGCTAGAATGGTTTCCGGATCCTCAACAACCAGATACCCAGTGGGTCAAGATCTTTCATCCGGGATCATGGACTCCACATGAAGAACATGATGCTCCACCTCCACCGCACACGTATAGAGAGTGGAGGGAGTTCTATGCTCCCAACCCGGACCCAGTCGGTGAGCAGCTCAATGTCACCATGTGGTACAAAAGAGACTGGGCCACAGAGGGCTATCGGAGAGTCGCTGCCCCTCAAGCTGGTCATGACTTTGATTCTATGTCTTTTCCTGATCATCACAGCGTGGCCACGCAATCCGCGGCATTGAGTATGTCACCGCAGCTGTTAGAAGCGATCCTCAGGTCCTCGGATGCGGCGGATTTCTCTACTGAAGAACTGACTCGTCTCCAAGAGGGGATTTCTCAACAACTGACAGCTCGCGCACGTCACGCTTCCCAACTTCATCAACCAGTACGTGCATCACGTGGAATCACACCATCGGAGACGGTTGGGGTCTCCGAACCATACCGGCCTGTTAATCCTCCCGACAGCTGCAAAGACAAGGCGAGTCCCATCTTCGAGCTAAATGAGGACTAGACGCACGCGAGCGGGGTAGCGTACAAAATAAGGGTGGTTTTCACACTTTCATTGCCTTGCTTGGTTGTTGCTTGTACATGGTTGTGCATGGTGCCTGTTTCTCTATCAGCTGGATCGGAGCCCGCGATTAGCCTTGCTTCTTACTTCGACATGGACGTCGATGATTCGAAGCAGCACCCATGGCTCGAATACTCGGTCTGGCAGGATCAGGAGTGGGTGCGGATCTACACTCCAGGACAGCCTCAGCGTTGGCACCGCGGAGAAACTGTACCTGATCTACCAGACAATTCTTTTCGGGAATGGCAGCGGGTGACTGATCCCAATGGGTGCACTGGTGAGCACGGTCAGGCATGGAACATCCGCGACTGGCAGCATCAGGGATACCAGCGCATTCTGTCTCGAATGGAGTCCTTCACAACTCATCATTCGCATGATCAATCTCCTGGTCAAGTTCGGAACTCCGATGCCATTCCAGTTGAGGAGACGTTCACCTATGCCACTCCATTTTCTCATGGTGATCGCCAGGCTGCTTCACAACTCGCTTCAGTCCTCTATGGCGACACTTGTAATGCTCAACGTGGTGATCTCTCGTTCCCGTCTTCTGAGCGGTTTAGGGCTGTTTCTCGTTCCCCTCGCCGCGGTGGAATTTTTGGTCAACGATAGGGACACGGGGTTGAGCATGTGATCTTCCTGCAGAAAAGGAGACTCCTCGCCCCTCATTGAGGGGCGTGTGTGTGCGGAGTGACAGAATGCCCTGTCACCACCCTTTCGGTTTCTCAGCAGGGGGGCAGAGAGGACTTGCAAAGCTCTGCCCAACGAAGCTCTTTGCAAGCTCCTAGGATACGGAGTCTGATCAACTCCGCGTACCTGCGCAACTCGTGTGATTCAAAGTCCTCTTGGCCCGTTGGTTCTCTCGCTGTGTGTGCTTCATGTTGAACCTTGTAACGGTTTCGCAGCTAGACGGAAACCAAGTGACTGCAAGCCGAACCTTCACCTACTCGAGACTCATCAGTTGTACTCGAGACTCATCAGTTGTACTCGAAACTCATCAGTTGTACTCGAAAGATTAGCACTCTCCATCTGGAGTTTAAGTGTGTGTGTGGGTGTGTGCCTGTGTGTTTTTCGAGGGCTATTGCTTTGTGCTTGGTTTAAAGAGTTCAAGCCAAAAGGAACAAGGCAACTTTTGGGGATCCCTGCGCCCACGCGGGGGGGGGGGGGCCTTTCTTGGGCTCCTTTCTCAAAGAGAAACCAAAAGGCCAAAAGCAAGTCAACCATTTACTACGGCCATATCCATGTGCCAAGGTGCCTTCAAGGCACGGTTATTAAGACGTCAATGAGGATTTTTGGAACAGCAACATACTTGGCCCCTCAAAGGAAAACGTACTCTTTTTGGGGGTGGTGCCCCTCGACCTCCGTTCCTCCCCCCCTGTTCTGGGGTCTCTGGGGCTGGGAAAAATGGCATCGGAAAATGGTGCTGGGGGCTGGGAAAATCGGTTTTCTCCCGGGATCCCCAAGAAGCATCCGCCATCTCTACCCAGAAAACATGGGCCACTCGCTGCACGGCCTCAAGCCTTTGCCTGCGAGGTCGAGCCCGTATCACGCTGAGCGTTGAGCCTGGCGCGCCGGGAAGTCCGGTTGGTTTTTTGCGCACACGAGCGAGCTGGGGAGGGAAAGGCGTGTGCGTGTTGCCGGTGCCATTTTTTGGGGGCTTGGTTTGAAGGGAAACCAGACACCAGAAGGTGACACACGCGCATTTTATGTGTGTCTGTTATTGACGGTTTTTTGGCCCCCCTATGTTGACACATGCCTGCATTGCTCCTTGCCTCGTGCTGGTATATTTGTAGCTTTGTAGATAGCACGCACTTGAGGGAAGTTTGCCGCAAGTCTTTTTGATACCGGAACGAACTCAGAGGAAGGTTTGGGGGGCTTCCGTTTGGGACGGCCCGGCGTTTCTTCTCGCGAAACGGGGCTCCGTGACTTGGGGTTTTCTTCGGTGAGATCGCGACTTGGGACTGAGCGACCGGGCCCCGTTTGTTGTCCGGTCAAAGGGTGTGGCCAACGGCGCTCATTCTACGGCGCTTTTTGTTTTTGTGTTGGTCGACATCAAACTTGAGGTCCGAGTTGTTCCTTTCGGCTGCAAGTTCTACGCGAAAAAGCACGCTCATCTTCCGGGTCTCGAGGCGATGACCCGGTTTACAGCCGAAAGAGGGCATCGCCCAAAGGCTGGCGGGTGAGCTGCTGTGCGTTGCCTTTGGTGCGGTGGGTGATCATCGGTATGGCTGATGGTCATTAAACATTTGCTCGGTGGTCATGACCCTTCTCCGGCGGATACACATTAGACTATATGGATGCACGTTAGGCTGCCGCCCAAGAGATAGAGGACGCCGCCCCAAGAGATGGAGGACGCCTTGCCCCAAGTGAAGGAGGCAGGCGCCAAACCGAAGCCGCAAGCTGCCTTAGGCGGAAGGTGGTAGGTTTAAAACCTGGTCCTAGGACTAAAAGCATCAGAGTTTGGAGCTTAATTTAAATCTCCTTTGAACAACATTTTTGTTGACCCAAGATTCCCTAGATTTTCCCTGTTGGTTTAGAACGCTACTTTGCGGGCTACCTGAAAATCTCAGTTTAGCCATGGTGAAAGGAGCAAGCTATGGGTTATTATTTTGCCCCTTGTAATATCCCCGGTGCCGGGTGGAGGTCCTGTCCAACCCATCTGCGTATTTTATGCGAACTCCACCGATCGGGGGCAAAACGAGCTCACCATGATGTAGGTTCTTGAATCCAATTTTTGTACCGAGATTCAGAACTATTTCAATCCAATCCAAGGGTTCCTCAACGGCAGGTACCGCACACACTCCAACACTCGTTATGCACATAGCCAGGCAGCCACAGGTCACTGAGCGCTTCGGTGCATTTGAAGCAGAAAGGTGGGGGGGGGAGCGGGGGGGGGGGCTGGAGGGCCGGGTGGGGTTCGGGGATGTGGTATCTTAGCCAATCATGTTTGGGGACAATTCAACAAACGTGTCGCCCCTTACAACCACTCTCTTTCCAACAATCAAGGAAGTGGACAAGATGCTCAAAGAAAAAAATAATCTTCCAGAACCCTCATTGTTGGAGGGAGGGTAACAAGAGAGTGCTGCCCCGCCTGTGAAGGAGAGTACCTGCCCGCATATGCTCCTCTTTCCACTAGATGCAGCCCCCAGCCCACCAAAAAAGGACACACCGCAATAAAAGGGGCTCACCCAATTCTCACACGGATTGTTGAGCAAGCTGGCTAGGCCAAACAAAAACCGAGACACTCCAGCTTGTGCCGCCCAAAATTGCTGAACAGACCCTGCTACGAGTAGTTGCCGTGTAGCTCCCTTGAAAACAGACAAACACGTGACGTGAGAAAAAACGACTCTACTCAGATACACGTATCATGGATGCAATATAAAACCAATAGTGAGAAACACTTGTCCTGATGTGTGACTTCGGAATCATCGCAAGCGTCTGGTTGAGACTCACCTTTTGGCAGGGTGTTACGTGAAAGACGGGTTTAAAGCCCACGAGGGTGGTCTGGTTGTCGCCTTTTGGCACTCCCAGTGTTGTCCTTTTTTTTCTCACGCAAGTCAACATGTGCACCAGACACAAACGATTTGTTCGAGGTTCCGATGGTCTGTAGCAACCAACAGGCTGGTCGTGGGAATTCTGTATTAGGGCGCCACTTTCTGTGACAGCCAGCGAATCTTCAAAGTGAACTCAGGGATGACCGGTTTTCAACTACCTTTGCCCTCCCACCAATTACCAACATGGAACCTGACAGGGGGGGGTCCTGGAAGACCATTTTCCTTTCAAAGGGACCCCTGTCAGGTTCCATGTTAACTGGTGAGAGGGCAACACAGGCAGGTTTTTCACCGAACAGAACGAAGATCCTATGGCTGTTGGGCGAACGACGCCCAGGTCGACTCGAATTCTGGGCTGAGGCCAGGGTACAATGTTCCCCTTGGCACTCTAGGCGGGGGGCACTCTTGAAAGTCCAAAAGTCGGTGAGTTTGCAGGAAAAAAAGGGCCCTCTGTTGTTTTGAGCTTGGGATAGGCTGCCTGATGAAAAGGAGACGTTCTGACATAGTGGCGCGATGGAAAGGGGCCTGATAGAGGGCTCGCGCCTGCGTGGGATTTCCGATGGGATACGAACCATATTCTGGACATGCAAGAGCACATGAGATATGGCCGTGCCTTTTGTTGGGCTGGAAACCTGCGGAGTCTTGACCTGGGCTAAAATATTTCCCGCGTAAGTAGGGCAATGGACACTTGGGGTATACCGACGTCGGCACGCGGTTCAGGCCTTACCAAATGTGCGGGTTATGCTTACTCTAAACCAGTTGTTCACAGGCTGCCTTTGCTCCTTTCTTCTTGGTGGGTTCTCCTGAAGTCAATCACAACAAGGGTTGCCTTGTTTGGCCAGGGTGACCGGCCGAGTGGGCTATCTACACCCGAAAACCACCCTTCTGGGAAGCTCGAAAACACCGGTCCAAATAGCCAAAGTGTAAGTATGTAAGGCTGAAATAGCAGCTGTTCATGTAATGAACCGGTGTGGGTTTTGGGATTACATTTGCCCTTGCGACAAGCTGCGGCGAGATCCGACTCGTCGGACGCTTCCCTTGGCGTCCTGAGAGACTTCAAGAGAGCCCCCCTCAGCTCCGACTGCACTGTACTCCGGGCCAAATGCGCAAGAGAAGGTTTTTCTTACAACAGCAATGTCTTACGACATCTCTGATTGCTGAATCTCATGGTTGTCCAATTGGGGATGTGTGCTGAATTGGAGTTGTTGTTTTCTTTTCCTTTTTTTTTTTGGGGGGGGGGTACCACAGGCAGGTTTGGGCAACACGTTTGCTTGAAGAACTAACTCTGGGCCTTTTGAAAAGGAAGTTGTGGTTTAAGCCGTGGAAGCCATGCATTGTGCCTAGGAACTGCGCAACGATCCCCCCCAAAACGATGTGGAAGCGCTTTTGTGTCATTTCAAATCTTTTTGCTTGGGCATTTCGTGGGATTTCCCACGCGGGAACTGTGTCTGGGAGTTTTGACCAACACGCACTCTTGGTGTCCATTCAAATACAAACCAAAGCGGGTCCACTCATTTTTTGAAACTTCCACATGGAACTGGCGAACTACACGAAGTATTAGCCTGAACAGGCCAGTTTGATTTCTAGTCTTTCCAACTTTTGTACTTGGGGTATGTGTCAAAATGTGGCGGGGCCTTTAACTTCACTGGTGGTTTTGCTTTCGGCTTCCCTAACTGAGCTGAAACGGCCTTCCACTGATCTGTCCCGGTTCCCAAAGGCGAGCGACTTGGTCGGCCGAAGTGCCGGCGGGCGCGACGGCTTTGGTGGGCGAAAGTTTTTGTCAAGCCAATGCGCAGCTGATAAAAAAGAAGAGCAGTTGGCGCGCCGTGGCCTCTGCTTGGCCTTGGGATGGGCGGAAGCGCGGAAATCCGCAGCGCGAATTCGAATTCCTGGAGGTCAGAAGACCTGGCTTTGGGGGCGGTAGGGGTCAGGCGTTGGGGATCAGACATTCTAAGCCTTGGAGAGCCACGACCAAACATAATGAGTGGAATCCTGAAAGGGGGGGGTGCTTTCCACCACAAAAGCAGCCTCCCAAAACGGTGCGTCTCTGAGTTTCCCGTCACTTTACAGGGGAGTGGCTTCTCAGAGTTGACATTTCGAGGATCCACATCCTTTTCGCCACACGGTGAAGGTGTTCTCAACCCACCCCCACGGGGCCCGGGTTGCGGGGAAGACGAGCAATGTGCAGAGCAGGTTGACCACATGCATGACCCCCCCGCCCATTTCTTCGCTTTTTTCATGGGGACCAAAACTGTGAACATCAAATTCTGGGGGGGTGGATTTCGGCTCCTTTTCGGATGCCATCCCCTTCTACCAGGCACAATGCGGCACCAGGCTCCAAAAGGAGGGCCATCATTTCTGAGCCATATTTCTGACAGCATCAACTGAAGCCTTCGAGGCCTTCTCGCCCCACTGCCGCGCCCTTCTCAGGGGTCCTTCTTTCAGACATAGATGTCCTTTTTGGTTGTTCTGCTTAGAAACGGAAGGCCCTGGTGTACCTGGTGGTTCAATCATCTACCAGACCCATCTATTTTCCCAAAAGTACCCCTATGCTTTCAGACCCCCGGAAATGCGGGCAGCAAACTTGACTCAGCCACCTGGACCCCTCGGTTTCAACGGGTCAACGAGAGTTTTTCGGTCTGCATCCGGATGAGAGAAGGTGTTCGTTGTAACCTCGGGTTTTTCGTCGCTCGGCCCAAGCCCTTTCCAGAGGCTCCATCAATGGCTTAGGACTAGAGGGGGGGGTCTCAAAATTGGGAACCCCCGCCACAATTGAGGTTTTCCGCTTGGTTTCCCTTGAAAACCAACCTGAAAATGAATGGCGCCCTCAATCCCCCCGCTTCGCTCCGAAGCCAACTTGCGGGCCATGACAACCCTTGGCACAGCGGGGATGTTTGCTACGCGCGATCAGCACAGAAGGGCGACCCAGACAGGCGCGGCCTCAAGTTCCATCTTTTTGCGACCGGAGTCACCAAACAATTGTAAAGCTCACATTGGGCCCCACTGCATGACTCGCTTTTTTCTGGTTTCACCAAACCGGGTCTGTCTTTGTTTTCCGGAAAAAGAAGAGCACATCTCAACATGGTGGGCATCCCTTCGGTTTCCCTTCACCACCCCCAACCAGGGCACCACCTTGGCACCGTACCTGGCGACCCGCCGACTCCTTGCGCCTTGCGCGCGCGCGCGCTGTTTGCCGCTTTTTGCCATGCGGAGCCTGGCCCTGGCCTGCCTGGCCGGGGTCCGCGCTGGGTTCTGAACATCGAGGGCTGGTTTCCATGGTTTCTGTGGGGTCCAAAAAGGGGTCCAAAAAGGGGTCCATATGGCTTTAGTCTTTGTTTCCATTTACCAAGCTGCCATTTTGGTACATTTGTTTGACCAGCCATATAGTGTCCTTCTTAGGTTAGTTTGGTGCTTCTGCCAGGGACACCCATCTTGTTTTTTGTCCAAAGGCTCACCTATGCTGGTTCCCCAGTGAACGTGTTTTGTTTGTTTGGGGGGGCGGGATCTCACTTTGGACTCAGCTGCACGACCCGAATGCAAATAATCAATGGCTGATGTTTGTTTCGGACCCTGGAGGACCCACCAAGCGACATGGTCAAGAGGTTAATTCGGGTCCTGTTGGATCGAGAGTCCAACTTCTCTCATAGACTTCCACGAGTTGCCCCAAACCTTGCAGTGGCGCCAAAGGGTGCCCTTCGCACCGGTTTGGGTGAATGGGTGAATCGATTGGGGTCTTAAAAAGGTCACACGGGCTTTTGGGGGGGGGGGGATCCAGCAAGTGGGAGAACAGGTTGCCAAATGGGCGGCTCCTTTGTTTTTCAGGGACCACTCCCCAAAATCCATCAAAAAATAGGGAGGGGACAGGTCCAACTTGAACCACTTTTGGAGAGGCGGATCAATGCCATCTACCGCGCCACTCGATTGAACATATGGCTTGCCTTGGCTCGACACCAGAAATCCGAAAACACCAACGTCCAACGTCCAAACGTTGCGCTAGATGCCCAATGCGTCCAGATTGCAACTCTTATAAGAACTTTCGTCGGCCTCCAGAACCAATAGACCAATAGGGCCTAATCAGCCCACCATGCGGGCATGGCAAACAATTTTGGTTTTTACCAAAGGAAGTCAGAGACATTTTCTGAGGGATTCCATCTGCGTGCGAGCAGCCTGTCGTCAGTTTAGGGTGCCGGAAAAGCGGGGGGAGACATTAAGTTTTCAACCCCGACAATTAAGCTGGCTCACTGAGTTTGACAGAAGGCCTCTGAGGCACTCACGAGCCTGAAAGACCAGTTGCCAGAGTTGCCACCCGAACCCGCGATGCCCAAGCGTGTTGGGCGGCTTGGTGATTTTTGTTGCTGTCCCTTCTCCGACCCGAATTTCTCGGTCGGGTCGAATGGAAGCTTTTGCGAAAGCGCCTTCGCCAGGCGGGCGGCGCTTTGGGCGCCGGCGCCCTCTCGCCGGCCCGGGCCCCAAGTGCCGTTGGGCTGGGCTGGGATGCCGCTTTTCGACGCGGCCCGGATGGTTGGGCCGCCCTTTCAACACCTACAACGGCAAGCCCACGCCCCTCTTGTTTTTAGATCCCATGTAAAGCCCCCCTTGTAAATGTGCCTCAAAGCACGGTGCGTTTCCCTGAAAATCACAAAGACAAGGGAAGTGCTGTCCCTTGTCCTAGGGGTCTACCCAAACCCATGGCACAGCATGAAACCGGCTTCTTGTGTTGGCCATCCTTGCTCGCACTACACAAGGGCCCATTCACGGTCGGAACGGGGTTATTCCCATGTTCACTACTTGCCCACTGCTGGTTACGAATGGGATTGTAACTGCCTAACTGGGGTTTCTGGGGTTTGCAACCCGACGCAACCCGGTTTTCCCCAGCCCCAAACCTCGTCCCTGGGCTTCTCTCTCCCTTTGGTCAGGGACAGCGTTGCCAGTCTCCTGGTTTTGAGACAAGGTTGTCAACCACCTAAAAGGCAAAAGCAGAGCCCAAAATGCGGAAGGCAACAGGCAACCAACCAATTCATGAACAAATACTGTTCTTTTAGCAACAAGCCTGCCTTCCTTTTAGGCGTTGCATTGGAGGGCTTCTTTGCCCGAGATTCTGTGTTCATCTTGGGCCTGCAAACCTCGAGCTCGCTGCTTTGGTTTGTTGATAGACGAAGCATTTCGTCCGAGACCAGGCAGAACAATGAACAGCACAGCAAGAAAAGCACTACACACACACACACTTGTGGTACTCCTCAAGGAACATAGTTTAATCTGGATTCGGCTGTCATTGGTTCTTCACAAACTTCCAGAGAAACTCGGTTGCTCAAAGCTAACCTTTTAACCTTTCGGGTTTCCCTGGTCCACTTTTAGTACAGGTCCCAAAGGGTTCACCTTCGATTTTGCTCCTTAACACTCCAGACAAATGGAACGCCCGAACAGCTTGGTGTTCTCTGTACGGCGACTGTACGGGCAAATTAAAACAAACATGTCCACACCGGAGCCCCCCTTCTTGGGGGGCGGTTTTTTCAGGTCCCAAAAAATGGGCGGAGGACAGGACGGAGCTCTGAGTCTAGGTCCCCCGGCAGTGCCCTTTCTCTCCCCTTTTTTGGTTGGGAGGGTTCCCCTTACTCAAGTAGAAGACAGAAGAAACAAAGTTGGTAGTTGGTACCAACTTATTCCAACCTCTCTACTGGACCTTTTTTGCGGGAGGGTTCCCCGTACTAAAGTAGAAGACGGAACAAGTGGTACCGACTGATTCCAAGCTCCAAAACTGGACCTCAGTCGCCAGGAGCACGCGCTGGGCGCCGCGGCGCTGCGGGTGACGCAGAGCGCCAAGGGCTTCGAGAGGCGAGTGGAGCTTTTGGTTTCCCTTTTACCTGCCAAAAAAGTCGGAACGTTCAAACAAAATAAAAGTATGGCTTCTTCCTACAATGGGGGAACCCCTTGTTGACTGGTTGTGAGTGGAAAGAACAAACCAACCTGCCCAATTTGAGGAAGCCATTATGGGAGACTCAGCCTCTTGAAATAGATTTTCCGTTTTGGTTTCCCTTTTTCATACCAATCTTAAGATCCGGCCGATTCGCTTGGCCACAGTTTAGCTATACGTACCCTTCAACGGGAGGCCAAACGGAAAGTCACCGGATTTGCGGACCCGGCCTGCAGGGGTGGTCAAAGTTCTGGTCGACGGGTTGGGATGGAACGGGGGGGGGGGGGGGGCCTCATTGAATTTCAACCGCAAAAACGAGCCTTGGTTTTCCGTGTCCTTTTGGGGAAATGTGTGTCCCCATGGGCTCACGTCAGGACCCTAAAAAGCAGGACATACCTATCTCCATCTCCTTTTCTGTTTGCATTGCTAGACTTAGCTCAATTTTTGACTTCTTGCCTTTTTCGGAATCTTGTACTTTCCCTACCAGAAATGTGAATTCACGTTTTGCGTGTGGGGTTTAAGTTTTGGCGAAACCAGTATCGTATCGCCACGCTCGCTTCTACTTGGATGCCCAGCGTTGGTGAGCGCCTAGCCTGGCTTTGCGGGTTTTGCATCAACGACGCATTCAAGCAAAAGGCGGCCCTGAATCAGGGGCGTGTTTTTGGTGCCGCTCCAAAAACCCAAAGGTTTCTTCCAGGGCCCCAAACATACCCCAGGCCGTGGGTTCCGTGAGGCTGCGGCGCGAGCTGGCGGCGGCCGGCGCCACGACCACGCGGCTGGTGGAAGGCGGGGACCCGAGGGTCCCCGGTTCGGCCGGCCGCACCGGTCGCACCTCGAGGGAGTTTGCTGGGCTTGCTGCTTGCTTGCAGGATGTGTGTGTGTGTGTGTGTTTCGCATACCGAAAGGGAATCTATTTGGGGGTTGATGAAAAGGTCCTTTGCATGGGATGATTATTGGGGAGTGCCACTATTTGCAACCAAATGGGGAAAGTTACCCATGGTCATTTGGGGGCCAGGAATTGTTGATCAACCTCCATTTGTGACCTGATTCAGGGCATGGGAGGTTAGCCTGACAATTTTAGGGGGGAGGGGGGGGGGGTTCAAAATAGGGGAACATTTTTGTGGCTTAAGGGTGTTTCTGTTTGGTTTCCCTCCAACCAAAAGTTGGACGGAGCCGGGGAGTCGATTTTCGAAGGCTTGTCGGAGGCGGAGCTGGACCTGCTCAGCGGGAGAGGCGGGCAGCGGCCTGCGCTGAGATGGGAGAAAGGCAGCCGCTGATCTTCCCTTTGCTGAAATCAATATGGCAGTAGCTCAAGGAAATGTACAAAATGGCACCTTGGGAAATGGAGCCATAGACTCTCATCTGCGTGACCCCAGCTCTTGATTTTTGAGCCACACCCATATGTCTGTTTTACGTTCCCCTGGTTTTTGTCACGGTTTTGTCATCACTACTGGAAATATGAAGTATGGTTTATTTATGCCCGGGCGAAAAAGCAAATGGAAGTTGTGGCCGGAGCCCACTACATAGGTGGCTCGTCCCTTTGCGAGGAGTCGGACGGGGACCCCAAAATGGCAAGACGGGTTGCCAGTTGGAACAAAAAGCCACCGAAACAGGGGTACATGTGTGTGTGTGTGTGAAACCGAAGGACCTCGCCATTTTCGGGGTCCGATTCCGTTTTAAGACAACGCCACTGGGCAGCCCATTTTTGGGAACAGCTTGGGCCCGTCTCGGCTTTTGCCACAAGCCCGCAATCCATGGGTCCAACTCCTTTAAGGCACCTGAGCCCTTTCTCTCGGCCCCCGAAGCCTGGCGCCGCGAGAGGCCCGGGAAGCGCGCTGGAGCAGCGGTTCTTAGAGCTGCAGCGCCCGGGGCCACGATCTAAAGACTTGAGGTGATGCCACTGGAGGCGCTGTTCGGCTTTTTTCAGGTTGGGTCCTGCTTTAAAGGGAAAACACGAGGAAACTTTCTGTTCTTTTTTTGGGGGGGGGCATCCCGTTTTTTTTCTTTTGATAGACGCCCACATGGGATGTTTCTGGCTGGTTCTGGAAGTAAACCAACCATGCGCAACCACACACGGACTGGTGAATCCACTGCCTGATGTAGTGGTGTAAACCCTGGTGCTGTGGGGGTTCTGTGCTATCCACCGTATTCGGGCTTTGGATGGTGGACCCTGCAGCGGAGAACTTATCGGCAGGCAGTTTTGTTGTTTTTTTCAGCAGGGGGACGTGCGTCGCGGGATATGGATTGCTGCATTGCCAAGTGCTGGTTTGAATGGAACAGCGGCGGAAAACAAGAAAGAACGATTCCAAAAGCCGGCTCCTGTTGACAACCCCGCCGTAGTAAATCTTCACAATTGACGAGTTAAAGTGGGTCGCTTCCTGAACCCATCTTAGATCGGTTTGGCTTTTGTTTTTGAGAGTGCCCCCTTTGGGGTGTTGTCAAGGAAACCAAAGGGATGCTACGCAGTTTGGAGGGTCCCCCATTCCACATTTTGAGGGACGGTTCAAGCAGACATGTCACCCTGGTGCCTCTGCTTTGTGGCTTTGACCTGTTATACTTCCACAATTGAACAAAACTGTCCACTTTTTTCCCAAGTCATCAATCACTGGCATGCCCAGATATGCTTTCTCTAGTCCCAAAGTCATCCACTAGCTCAAACTGATTGGCCGGTAAGATGATTGGTATCTCAGCATGCCAAACCGAATAGTCAACAAGCCAACTCAGCAGGTGACTAGTGGAATGGTTCCTTGTAAGCAGCCCTTCTGTTTGTCTGGTTTTGAAGGCGCAGCACTCAACCCAGCAAAGGGCGTTGCCAAATCGCAGGCCTATGTCGCTTTCTGAAAAAGGCTCTGAAGACATTTCGTCCCCAGATTCTAAGATGCTTTTGGGATCATTTGGTTGGCCGGAGGATCAAATGAGCAACATGTGAAATTGGTTGTCTACATGTGCTTATTCAATGTCACCATGTTTCCGATATTGCACGCGAGTATGTTTCTCTGGCTTACCGCGTGTGTTTATCAAGGGGGAACAGCAAACCTGACAGCCAAACGATTCCAGCATGTACTGTAGCCCAATTCTCAGGAGTGACCCGTACCGTTTGCCACTGCCCCTCCCCTCCCTCACCCTCCCCTCCCCCTCCCCTCACCCCTCCCTCCCCCGTCCCGCCCCCGCCCCCTCGCCAGCTGCGGACTTCCCACCCGGCCCCGTCTCGGCTCGAGCAAGCGGTGGGCACCGCGGAAACCGAGTTGACCGGCCGCCGCGTCCTCGAAGTCGCGAAGCTGGGTGGCTGGGGGGACGTGAGGTGGGTGTTTGGGCCTTGGGGTTTCGAAATCGGGCCTGGGAGCTCTTGGGGTAGGTGGGTTTCTCATGAGAAAAATCCCCCAACTTTCAAAAGAGGTTTCATCCATCCCAACTGGTGTCTCTGGTGTCTCTGGTTTCTCCCCAACTTTCAACACGGGTTTCGTCCATCCCAACTGAGATTTGGCGCCTGCGTCCTTTCTTCCCGAGGAGGCTCACTCGAAGCCGAAGATTGTCGATCCATGGCGACGGTGCCGGTGAACCCCAAGCCATTCCTGAACGACCTCACGGGCAAGCTGGCGCCCTGGCGTCCCAAGTCCCAAGTCCCATCCAGTCGGTCAGCGACCGAGGCGGACGGGTCCGGCTCAGTACATGGGGGGCTTGTCGTGGTGCCCTCCCGCCAAGAAACACGGAACTGCATAGACCCCCTTTCCAGAAGAAAGTCTTCCAAAAGGGGCTTGTGCGCTTGCAAGTTTTGTTGGTGGAGCGTGCCATCACACTGCGGTGGTCTTGATCTGCGTTTCTCCGTGCAACAGTTGCGTGAAACACGGAAGTCGCAAAGGGCCGAGCAACATCTTTGCGTATTATCTTCACACCATGGTGTTGGGGCAAGTGTAATCATGACAAGGGACCCAACTTCATCCTTCAACCATTATCCTGTTGTGAGGGGTTCGATGCTCCACGTTGGTGGGTGATTTATCCCAGCATAAGTATTTCATCTACCCCAACTACTGCCGGATTTCGTCCATCCACAGCATGTCAGTGTTAACAGCGAGCGCCCGGGACCCGTATTGCGGAGCATTCTCCTTTACTCGGAAATTATCTTATTTCGTGAGGAATTCTCGTTCTTCTGTTTCATTTTGCTCGTCTTGATGGGGTCGGGGTCCGCGAGAGATCCGCCAAGGTGCTGACCAAGCTGAAGTGGGGCATGGAGTACAAGGGCCAGCTGAAGTGCGCTGAACCCCCCACTTGGAAGGGCTTGAGGGTTGAGGTCGTCATTTTTTTCTTGAGCTAAACACATATGGATGTTCCTGGGGTCGGTCGGGTCAATGATGGTGGAAAACAGCTCAAGCTGGGGCGAAGCTGCTTCTATTTTAAGAGGGTTCGGGGGGCGTCGAATTTCTGGGGCTGTTCGCTGAAATGGCAAACACATGAGTGCTGTCTGGTTCTCATCGCTTGCCAGTAGCATCAAGCTCTGGATTGTCCTAACTAGAGTTGATGCTGCGCATCGCTTCATCAAAGGAGTGGCTTCGAATTTGGTCAGTCGGATTAATCCGAAGTCAACATTGCGTTTGACCCTGGATGAACCAACCACCTGGAGGGTTAATGGGGGTGTCTTACCTCTTTAAAGTGTGAAAGGGTTTATCAATCCTGGGTTCCAATTGCAAGTAACTTCGTAGGACGTAAGGGAAAACTGCTTGCTTGCTTAAAATGGAAGGCGGATTCTTCTGGTTTTCTTAAAACCCAGCAGTCAAGATCAATCGAGCCACCTGGTCAAAGGCTCAGGTTCGGGACATCAAGGGAACCCCTAAAGCGCTTGAATCCGGGATGGGAGTTTCATGGCATCGTGAAAGGGGGTCATTTTCAGCATAGATCCTCCAAAAGCCCGGCAACTCGATTCTTGTTCTCCCATTTTTGTCAGGTCCCCCAGTCAGAAAGTTGGGTTCCGAGAAACTGGGTTGAACCAGAGGGGGCCCAAGCGACTCTGGCCTTCTGTCGCTACTTTTGCTCCAGCTGGGGGGGGGACTGGCTGCATGCAACATGGCCAGGCGCGGGGGAAGAAGCACGGCCGGAAATTGGGCGGTTCAACTTGCCTGACCGAAAGGCGGTGGTTTGGTAATTGGGATGGACACATTTGTAAGCAGAGGTGTCCTTTTCAGCTAAGTTTGGATAGAACAGATGGCGGTTTAGAGGGCCATCTATTTTTCCACCAGGTCACCCATGTTCGTATGTTGATGTGTTGAAAAATGCACGTGCGTGGCGATACTTTTGTCTGTGCAGTTTGACGTGCTGCCAGCAGAAAGTGTGCCAAAGATGGAAGGTGCCAGATGGATTCCGGAGGCAGAACTTCGGCCAGTGCTGTTGGGGATACTGAGATACTCCTTCGGTGCATGTTTTTGAGAGGACTCGCTGAATTTCCAACAAACACCGCCAGAGGGACACTCCTTTTTCCATATCCTGTGCGCACGACCGTGGCTTTTCAGTCTCCCAACAGTCTTGTTGGTGTTCCGACCAAAGATCATAGCCAGGGGCAAGGGTATCCTTTGCAAGCAGACTCCCCTGGTTTGTACCTTGGATGCCCTGAACATTGTAAGGGCAACAAGGGAATCCCTGCAACTGTGCTGGGGTTTGTTGGATGTGGTGAGTCCACTTCCAGTATTCAAGGAATCCACCGTTGGCTGGCAACCATGGTAGTTGCAACCCACCAAAGCCATGCTTGTGAATTCGCATGTGAGCCACAATCAAAACCCGGGTAGATGAAGGTTGGCGACCACAAACAGCTGCGGATATCCGCCTTCTTAATTCTTTACATGGTTCTTGGGTAGACCATTTTGATGCCGGGTTTTGATTATGACTCACCTGCTTTTGCTTGCCCAAGAGCCAAACCAAGAAGCCCATGGAACATCCAGCTGGTCGAAAGAAAAGGACCCCCATTGTCCATGGTCAGAGATCGGGAACTGGTACTTGGTATGTGAATTCGCATGCGGGTTGTTTGGCCATGGCCAACGTTTTACCTCACGTCCCGCGGGGCCGCAGGCTGCTGACCATGCGCCTGGCGCTGGCGTTGCTGGTTGTGCGTGCCTTCGGGCAGGAGGCGAGTGGGACGATCCCAAATAGCTTTCGACAGTATTCCAGCCCGAAGCTTCTGAATCTCATGATGTACCAACAATGTTGATTTAAACAAGCTAAATAACTTCATCAACGTATGACCCGCTTTGTCGTCCCAATCACGCTTCCCCCCGTGAAATTGCAAGATCATGGAAGCCCAACATGAGGCCTTGTTTTGCACCCGCGCGCAGCTATGGAAAGCTAAGGTGAGATTATCAACATGGCTGCTGTGGCCCAACCTGAAATGAGTGAATGAGTGTAATGAGTGGATCAAAGCCCAATGGAATCACAACATGTTTCATTAAAACCAAGTAGCCTCACCGACACATCAAACAACTTACCCTAATCTCCATGTGATCGTAAGAGATGAAAAGAGATGACATCCAAAAACCCGCTCTCCCCAGCGGTATGGCAGTACAATTGGGAACAACGGGTTTCTCGGGGAAACGGGTTTCGCCAACAAAAGCCTTTGCGGGGCCCAAGCCTAAACGTCCTCCCTGACATGGAAGATGGCCCAAGCACAAGGGGGACATGAAGGCCGGGGGTCCCGCAGGTTTGGCTTCATGCCATCCCCATGATTCCTGGGCGGGCCTTCTAGTCATGTCACGAACACGCTGCGCGTCCGGACTGACGGGTCTTTTAAAGGGACCTTGCAGTGTCCATGTTTCATCACTAGGCCCACAGATGTGATTGGATTGATTCCCTCCAGATGTAATTAGTGGTTCTAGGGGGAGTTGTTCGGTTTAGCGCTCAGCTCGGGCCGGATCCAAAGTCGACAGGATGGATCCAATGGCAGTTGAAGCAGCAAAAGCCCAAAGATGGCACGTTCCATATTGTTCCTGACTTGGCAGACTTGGCATGTATGTGTTCTATCTCCCTTTGCATTTCTCCTGCAGAATGGGTGACCTTGAGGGTCTCTATTGAAATGGAACGATGGGGGTCTTAGGAGTACGTCGGGATCGTCATTCTGTAAGGAATCCATTTGATGTATTCTGGCGAGGTTTCCCAAGAGGAACCCATACCGGACAATCACCTGGGCCACAATCAACACCCGGGTAGATGAAGGTTAGTAAGGGATATACCAAACCACAAATAGCTGCGGATATCCGCCTTCTTAATTCTTTCATGGTTCTTGGGTAGACCATTTTGATGCCGGGTTTTGATTATGACTCACCTGCTTTTGCTTGCCCAAGAGCCAAACCAAGAAGCCCATGGAACATCCAGCTGGTCGAATGGAAAGGACCCCCCATTGTCCATGGTCAGATATCTGGTACGTAGTATGTGGGTGCGTCTTTTTTCGGGGCACCCCCTTTTGGTTTCAAAAGGAAGCCAACAGGAAAGCACCGATTTTTGGGGGTCCGGGGTCCCCTCATTTTGAGAGAAACGTATGTGGGTAACCATGGCCCTGAGGTAAAGCCGCGGCGGCCCATCGTGACCACAGACATCGTCCATGGCACCGGGGAGCTTTTGTACGACATGTACAGCGCAGCCCAGCGTGCAGCTGCCAGGTTGGGAAAGAATCTAGGGGTACCTTCCAATTCCATTCTTTCCAAAAATCCTTCTTTCTAGAAAACCTCCAGAATCCCAGGGAAAACGGAAAACGGATCCGGCTTTTTGAAAACGGCGGGTTGAAAAGAGTAGGGGAAATCAACCCCTAGAAAGAAGCTCTTGTTGCGGCAACCAAGCCACACCCGCAAGCTGCCAGCTCGGGAAGCCAGCCAGGTGTTTTCGAACAATGGGTGCTTGAAACCATGGCAGGGGGGGGGTTGTTTTAAACCAGAGGCGGCTAAGCATATTGGTTTAAACATGTTGGCCAAAGCCTGGCCACTAATTTTCATTTTTCCCTGAGAAAGTTTAAAGTTTAGCAAACGTCGCGAACAGATCCGGGCTGGAAAGCCGTGCCTCATTTCAACCGACCGGTCTCTTCAGAGTCCACGCTGGTGCCACTCCGTCCTGGCTCCAGCAGTTGGTTCACTTTGAGCCAGATATATGCAGGGGGTGCGATACCTTCAAGTTCCGATGGGTGGGAAGATAAGCAAGGATTCTCAGCTGGCCCTGAGAATGCTACACCCCATCCTTGTTCCCAATTCCGAAGGTCAAGAATACGGTTCTTCAGTCATCTCCCTCATCACGGGCAGAGTACTCACAATAGTCAGGAAGGTGTGCTGTGTTTTAAGCCTGTCAAGTGTTGGATTTGGTCGCCATTTTTGTGCAGAGCACACTTGCTTGTTCCCATATTGGCGAACGAGAAAGATACAGAGTGCACGCAAGCCGCACGGAAAGACCTTTCATGCTCATGATCAACAAGGCTGCTCATTAACTTGGGCTCAGCAATCTCCAGACGTTGAGCTTTTTTGTTTAGTTCATTTTCAGGGTACCTTTTCTCTTTGGTTCAACAACCTCGCAGATGATGCTGGTCCTTTAACAAGGATTTCTCAATGGATCGATCTGCTGAAAAGGAAGGAGGCAATCACCTGGAGATCGGAGCACCAAGTGTGTGCATATATATATATATATATGTACGACATGTGGAGTTGGTCTGCGCGCGCGCTTTGAAACACAACAGAAAGGGAGTGGCCAATGTGATTTCCACTCCCGCCGCTGGCGTTCGAACTCAAGACTTGATGACCCAGACAACTGGCGTGGCCGGTGGGGAAACACAGAGAAAGTTATCAAATGTTTGTTTTAAGCTGAAAATGCTGCTTTTGCCTAGGCGTGGGACGCAAACATACAGTTTTGCGGCAGAGCGCGGCGTACACTGTGAGTTGTGCTCTTTTGTTGTTTTTTGTTTTTTGTTTCTCATGTTGATTATCTTGGACTTGTAAGATAACGCATCAACTGTTGTGTTTAAGCACATGTGAAGCCATGGCAATATGTGTATTTACAATGTACATGTGCTCGTCGGTGTGGGTTTTGGTGTTGTTTTTGGTTATTTTGTTTAGTTGATATATTTTGTATAATATGCAACTGTCTACCTAGTATCTGTAATATTGAGCATGCTGTTTGTCGGATACTTTGAACGCATTGAATGGCCGTTTAAAGTTGTTATTTATGGAAGTACTTTTTCGTTTTGAATCTGTATAGGTTTATATAGACAAGCTGTGCCTAAGGCAGGACGTGAGTGGAGGCTATGGAATCCAACCCCGCGCGGGCTCCTTTGCCTTCCACAGGGTTCTTCAAGCCCGTGTGCTTCATTTGGTGCAAGGCTCTTGGGTTTGCGTCAAAAGGGAGGGCCCCAACATGGCCTCAGTTGACCTTGTGGTTTTCCTTTAAACTGAAAAGGCTACCCTCAAAACATGGCTGTTGTTGGGAAACATTTTACACTTTTGCTTATTGTGGTTTAGTGGAAAATCCCCCACTTGGCTGCTAAAATTTAGTTGTTTTTGCTCCCCTTCCAACGTCGGCGCCGCCGGGTGTGTGACTGGGGCCCTTCCTCGCCGGACCAGTCCGAGGCAGCCTACAACAAGTTTCTGGTCCACCACGTGGACAAGCACAGCAAGACCGCGCGGCGGCCAATAGTGAAGGTCTTGTGGCCGCGTATGGGGTAGACAGACAACAATTCCTGGGGCTAGAGGATTTCTTCTTGGAATTCCGCAACTGAGTGTAGCTACACGCCAAACAATGAGCGAAAAGGGAGTCGCCACGTGGGTGCAGGTGTTGATTGCAATTCATGTGGCTACTCGACTTGATGCACAGACGAGAAGGACACCCACAAGTCACATGGGGTCGAGGCGCCACTTTTCATTGGATCGCATTTTGGGGTTGTGAGCTTTCATGGTGTACTGGGGCGCTGGGGCAGGTGCTGTTGGCGGTCCTGGTGACTGGGGGGCATTTTGGCAAGATTGACAGCTGGCCGTGCAGGTGCAGTTTTGGGGCATTGGTAGTTGGAAGTTCTGAATGTGCAGAGTAACTTCACGCGCATGAGACATACTCGGAAGATCTCGGAAGGCAGCCCCTCAAGAGTTTTGGGGCTTTGAGATGGTCCAAGGTTCGACCTCCAAAACTTTTGGGGTGGGGTTCGACCTCACCGAATGTTTCTTGCTCATGGATCATGGATCCCTTGTTGGGTAAACTTTGGCAACTCGCCCATTTGGGTCGGTCCTTCTGGAGGGAGCACCTATTCAACACGGCGGTTTTGTCCTTTGGTTTCCCTTTCAACCAGACTAAAAATGGGTATCAACACCAAACAAAAAACACGACCCCCCCCCCCTCCTCCCCCCATTTTTACGTGGATTTCCATGGCGTGGGTTTCCTTGCAGGGCCCTTGAAAAAGGGGAATCGCAACTCCTCCACCTGCTCGAGGTTCGGGAGGCGATCGAGCCGATGCTGCCTGAGGACTGGGAGAACTGCCTGGGTCAAAATAAAACCAGGCACCGCAGGTAGTCTTTGGTTCCGTTTGCCAGGCTTCCATTTTGGGTACGCCTTTTTGACAGCCGAATGGCCGTTGTCACCTCCAATTGGTGGTTTGGATTGGTGGCTTGGGGATTTGAACCCTCAGTAGAAAGGTACCCCAAGCCGAACCACCGAGCAGAGGGAAGCTGAAGTTGCTCGCTCAGAACGAGTTTCTGGACTTCGTGCGGCCCGTGTGGCAAACAGCAAGTTGGACTTGGTTGGGCCATTCTGCTCAAGTGAGATTGGTGGACATGAATCCTAACCCACCGAAGTTGGACGTCCGCCATGTCAGTCCCCTTCAAACGAAGCGTCCTGAACATTGGTTCCCTGAAAATTGAGGGGTCTCAAATTAGGGAGGGGGGTGCCCGTTCGCACAGGTTTTCGAGGGGAACCAACCACCTGAAAGAGCCTGATTCTGGGCCACACCTGGTCTTCACCAGCTGTGTTGGTTGTCCTGCAAGCAAATTTCACCGATCCCAGTTCATGGCTGTTGTTGGGAAACATTTTGCATTTTTGCTTATTGTGGTTTAGTGGGAACTCCCCACTTAGCTGCTGACATTTAGTTGTTTTTGCTCCCCTTCCAACGTCAACCAAGAGTTTTTCCGGTAACACTGGACCAGGAGAACTTCAATTGCCACGGTAGGGGCCTCTTTTTCCACTCCGTGGGCGGCCTTGCTGCCTGAAACGCAGAGGATCCCATGGGGCAGATCTGTAGCAAGGCAGGGATCGGGTTTTCCGGAGCCTCGCAAAAAATCGGAACTGGTCAGTGTTCCTTTTGACCCGAAAGGGGTGGAGAAGGTGGAGAGGGCGGTTGGGGTGGAGTTGGGGTGTGGAGTTGCTGGAGTTGGGTTGGAGAGTGGGGTAAGACGAACTCATGAAGAGACATGGCTATGGTGAGGAAGCCCCCCAAAGTGACGAAGCAACATGGCGCGACGTCGGTTTCGCGGCGAAGCGCCGTGAAGCCACGAAACCTGCGAAAGGGAAAGAAGGCAAGCCGGGGAATGGAAAGAACCGGAAAGAAACTGCAGGGAAGACCTGCAAATCGTTGGTGGTTCCGAGCCCCCTTACGTTTTGAGGTGTTTTGGGTTTTGTGGGGGTCCATTTCACCCATTAAAAGTAAAACTTTCAGCCAGGGATTTGACCGCCCAGAATCAGCAAGCTGCAGATGAATGCCAGTCTCAATGGAAGCTGACGATCGGAAGGTGTGCATATATTCATGTTTAGCACAT